TAGTCCAAATCACTTTCTTCTTTTGAATCCCAGTTCAGCCCATCGTATCTATTTGTAATATGCCCAAGGCTTGGCTTATCTGCAACACTAATACTAGTGTTGTCATTCCTTACATTCTCATCTTCGGCCACTCTCCTTTTAAGTTCTATAAGGCAGTCTATTTTTTGTTGCTTGGATGGTTTCGTCAGTGCCTGCATGCCGGAATTAATTCTTTCTTGTTTCTTCCTCTTCCCCATGCTATTATCTTCTCTTGGCAGTAGGTTATAGACAATTCTCACCCAGTTATGTTTGAAGGGTAGTCGTATGCAGCTGTGTGCAAGGTCTTAAACAACAATTTAGTTAGATAATATAAAATAAAAATAAAATTTGCCCGAGCACTCCAATAGTTAGCTGCTTTCACTTCGCCCAGGAATCTCTACTTAGGCAAAAAATATTCCAAAGAAGGTGACAAAATGCATAGATAGGTCCACATAAGTCACCAGCTGGACTCAAAGGTGATTTGACTATCTCACTTCAGAGCAGAAACCAAGGGTTATTTATCTGCATCTGTATAGTAGAAATGTATTAGCAGATTGAGCTATAACTCTGGATTTCTTCATTTGATGGCTAACTTGATGAAGAAAAGAACTGTGCGCTTGACCTGAACAATCACGTCAAGCATCCCTGTGTGTGCTGTATTCTAGCGTGGGCATTTTATCAGGCATGGTCCCAAATTATGTTCAGTCTCACCAAGTTTGGGTGTTCAGAATTTTTTCCCCCCACTTTTCCCCCTGAGAACTTGGACATCTGAATTAATTAGCATTGTCTCGGAAGTGGAAGGATTGGTTTTGAAATGTTCCTTTTTTGTACAACTGATTGTTTTGGCATTTTGTATACATTTTGAATTCATCCTAATCCATAATTATATACATGCCTATGTTGGAAATGCATCCTGATACTGCTATGGCTGTGATGGCATCATGAGCCGGAAGGGAGATATTTTAATATTGTTTTTGTCAACGTGCATGAAAAAATGGGAAGGGGGATAAGAACTTAAAGCTGTGGCAAACTTTGCGTGATCAACATCCAGAATATAAGGTTAGAAATTCTAATTATTCCAGAAATGACAAAGTTAGTCCAAAGGCAGGAGGAAAAAAAATGGAACAATCATATAGGAGGAGGAAGATGTACCATTAATGTCCATAAACTATTTGCATCCTTGTCATAGAACAGAAGTTAAAATAATGGTCACTTCCATATTGCCATGTTGAAGTTACTGAGGGTTTATTTTAACCTGGGTTGGGTTATCTTTAAACAAAGTGAATGCTTGGTCTCAGACCATCTTGAGATCTGTTTTTTTCCTTAACTGTGACTATTTCCATGTTCGAAATTTTAGCAAAACCACGTTTCAAACCCAAAGATCTCCATGTCTTAGGAAAAGAAAAGACTGTTGCCTATTAAAAACAAAACAATGAAGAATGTTAGACATAACTTAGATTTTATAGAGCAGACTTTTAAATAGTGAAGAACTCATCTTGATGATCAAGCCTGTTTGTATCAAAAATTAAGTTTCTGTTCTCTCTTTCTTTATCTCATTCAAGCACAATGAAACATATGATGGCCCTTACAGAATTTACACTGGGAAAGATGATATAAAGAAGGCAGGAATTATCCACAGTTATCAATACAACAGGTATACTATATTTGGAAAGATATAGATATATATATATTTTCAAAATTTAGCTAAAGTACACACATACACACACACAGTATGTGTGTTAGTATGTGTGTGTGTGTCTGTGTGTGTATATATGCGTGCTAACTATAGTTTAGTTCTGTTTTGTGAACTCTTACAGCCCTTGCTTTCTATATAGATAAGATTCCCCAGTGCAGCTGCACAATATTCAGTCATAGAAAGGTGTGTTGGTTGTATTCACATTGTATTGAAGACCAATGAATTCTGTGGTGGTTATCACTAGACTTGGGGTTTGAATTGTTGCCATTTATTTTCAAATCTTTGGTTTTATCCTAAAGCAAATGTAGATGGCTTTGGGCAAGTTGCTATTACTCAACTTGGTCTCCCTTGCAAGATAACTGTATATGCTTGTCTAAGTTCTTGGGCAGAGGGAAGAGTGCAGAGAAGATAAAGGTTGACCCTCATGGATAAGACAGGAGGAAACCATTTTCTGAGACAGGTTGGGAGGCTGTAACTTCCTATGTCTTTCCTTCAAATGCTGTAAGGAGGGGGAATAATTAAAAATCCACAGTGATGCAATCAGCGTTGACACTCCTTTGGACAGAGTTGGTGAACTGTTACCACACTCATCCCTTCATTTTCATTTTCTCTCCCCTCCCTGCATGAGTATAGGGAGGAAAGAAAAAGTGGGAAGAGATGGAGTTCCAGCCCAATTTTTCTAAAGCCTTTTTAGAACCTCATCTAGGGGCAGAATAGCTAACT